CTTTTTAAATTAAAAATTGATCAATACATAATAGATGTACATATTTTCAGGGTACATGTATTATTTTGATATGTTCATGCAGTGTGTAAAGATCAGATCAGAGTCGTTGGACTATCTATCACATTAAATATTTGTCTTTTCTTTATGCTAGGAATATTTTCATTATTCCCTTTTAGCAATTTTGAAATATACAACAGCTTGTGGTTAACTGTAGTAATACTACTGATCTATCAAACACTCAATTGTACTTTATTACTTTAAAAATAAATGTTTGGACATTTGTGGCAGAATAGTATGTGGTCAAATGTAGGTTTCCAAGTCCATCTATATGAATCCACAGAGCTATTGATATTTTCTGCTTGCTCATGGAAGCTAATGCTTTTGGTCCTATCTCTAGGTATAGTTCTATGTACAGTTATAGCCTAATTAATCAGTCTAAGACAATAATTGAATATATAGTAAATTTGGGTTTAGTCCTTATCTTTAAAAAATATTTTGTTTACTATGTTAATCAGCTAAGTTTTATAAAAAAGTTTTGAGTTTCTTAAACTAGGAGTTTTATTTTCTAATTTTTGTTGACTTTTGTTCAGACCATTAAGTCCAATGAAGAAATGGCAATTTCTCTTTTGATTTAAGCAATAAAGATAGCCAAATTGGATAAATAAACTGAAAATTATAACTGGGTCTTGAATAATCTTGCTACCAATGAATTAAACATCAGAATGTAAGAAATGTCATACTAGATTAAATCAATTGTCAATGGAGCATGGAAGTTTATGGAAAAACATTATGTTTGCTCTCCATGACATTGATCTATCTTGAACATCTATTATAGTCCCTTAGTGATGTATTACATAGAATTCTCCACAATTTAATTTTCTACAAAGACTTTTTTTGATTCCATTTTTGTTTCAAGTTAATACTACGTCTTTGGTAATGAGATTTATTTTCATATTCTAATGACCCTGTAAATTTTACTTTTCAAAATACTAAACTACATTATGATTTGAAATATGTGACTAACTCATTTCCTAGCTTTCTCACTTGAAAAATTTGAATTTTCAACTGATTTTATGTGAAAAGTTTTACACCTTTTGTTTATTTGTAACCTAGACTCTTGATGTCCTTCTTGACGGACAGCAATGAGAAATATGTATATATTCATAAAGAGAGTAACCACAATTTTGTGTGAGGGTAATATTTATTACCGTATAAGGAAGATGAGCATTCTGTTGTTCTTTAAGTTACAGCTGCACATTAAGTCATTCCCCTGAGATGATAGGTCAGATATTCTTTTGTAGGATCTCTACTGCATTTTGTTTTAGATAGATTTCTGAAACAAACAAAACAAAAAAAATTGGTAATTTTTTTATCCTGCTACTAATCACGAAGTGCAATGATATTTCCTGCCAGCAGTGAATAAATATTCATACTAACTGTAGTTCTGAACTCATGCACCTTTAGCATTGTTTGAACTCTTATAGACGACTGCATTGACTGGTATTTGTTAATTTGCATGTAGCTCCTTCTTTTAGTAATTCTTTTTAGTCCTGCTAATGGAACCATCCCTTGAATGTCTGCACGTGCATTATACCCTGCCTCCCATGGTGAAGCCTTTATTTCTAGAAAGTATATTTGTGTGACTTTGTTTTCTCCTGTCCCAATGTCTTATTTTTGTCCTTGTGACTTCTAAAGTTCACCTTTAAATAATTATGAGTAAATTTGATTAAAAATTTCAAATTGATACATTTAAAATTAATTTTTCTTTAACAACTCAATATGTAATTTATGCATGTTCATACACTTACTATGTTATGATCCACAGGCTCATCAGTCTGAATGTGTAGTTCTTACTTGGACTTCAAAATGAATTTGAGAAACAATAAATTTGAACATTTAATTTTTCCTTCCCTACAGCAATGTGCTCTACTAAAGACAGTCAGCTTTAAGGAACATGTATTTAATCTAAATGTGGACTTTAGAAGCATTGCTTTCTCTAAATCTTGGAATTCATAACTAATGGTTTATGTATGCACAGAAATATTTGCACATTGACTGTATCTATAGAATACTCCAGGTAAATCATGTTTAGGGCTTACCACACTGGAATTGCTTGTTCTAAAATTGAAGTTAAATGGCTATTAGAGGAAGTGAGATACTATAAGGCACTGCAAATACCTGTGGCTTGCTCTCCTTACAACAGTCATGTTCTCATAGTAGAGACAGAGAAATGTTTAGTCCTGTATGTGAAGACAGGAGCTTACCTTTGAACTGAGGTCTTTTCGTCTAAAGCATGTGTACAAGATTCAGTGCATTATTTGTGGAATAATTAGGTTTTCTATAAAAAAATCTGACCCCTAGGAAAAAAGACTACTACCAGAAAAAGAAAGACTTTTTGTTCTTGACTGGAGGCATTGTTTCTTTCCTGAGTTTCATGGAACACACTGAAAGTGTTTGAAGCTGCCTCATGTGGTCTGTCCCCTCTGGCCTGACATGGCACCATTCCACAGTATACTGATGACATGAGCAAGGCGATTATAAGTTGACCCATAAGGGACCCACATAAGCTGATTGCTCTGCTCCGCAAATGACACAAATAGAAAGCTTTGAGCAAGAGTGGAAAGGCACAGTGTCACTTGTCTTTTCTCTTTGAAAAACCTGGGACACATTCTGCTCAGCCAACATGTTCCCGGAGGAATGTGATTTAACTTCCACTTTTCACACAGTAAGAAGCAACACCACAGACCTGTTGGGAAAGTGATCGCACCCTGGGAGGATTTTGGATAAGTGTTTGTCACTCCGGTATTTTCATGTGACCTGACTCTCCTTCTTAATTTAGTTACATCTTGACCTGGAAATGCAGCCACGGTTTGTCTGTCCTCTCCTGGTTTATCTTAGTTCATGATGTGCGTGCCCTCCTTCTCCTGCTCCCAACCCAGGAGCCGCTTCCCCCTTTCCCTTGCAACCTACTCATAGAGACTTCCCCTAGATGTCTACATTCGTATTTACACGCTGTTTCCCTCTGCTGCAATTTTACTTCCAGAAAGAGGAAATATTTTTGAGTCATTGAGATATATACAAACATATCCGCCCCAAAGCAGCCTAGGCGGTTCCCCCCTCATTTGGCCAGATCTGACTATTCACACATCTGGCAGCTTCTCTAAGACCTGTCTGGTAGTAAAGGAATTAATTTTTCCTATTTCTCTCTAGCTTTTCTCCCTTCTATCAAACGACTGATTTTTTTTTTTTTATGCATGAGATAATAGACAAGCCTTGGGTGACCTGTTTTTTTTTTTTTCCTTCCTTCCCTCCTCCTCCTTTTCCCTTGCGGTAAAATAGTGCTGAAGAAAGAGGGCACTAGTGTACAGCCCAGATCGCATCCTTACACCGTCTGGATTGGAGCTAAGGCGTCTTGCACGGACCGCAGCTGCGGTCTGTGGTCCGATGGCCCCGGGACCACAGAGCTACCTACCTCGACTCAGGTACGTCTCAAATTCATGCCTTCCAAACAGGCCCAGGTGAGTGGATACTTCCTCGCGGTGAAACCCCCCACAACGACAGCCAAAGTCTGAATCTATGAGATTTCCCTCCTGGTCCAGGCGCATCCTCTTTTATTTTATTTTAGTCCTGCATCCCTGGGAAGCGTCGGGACCCACGGGTGTGCCTGGGTTGTGTTTCTTCCTTTGCCTACTTCACCTGCTTTGCTCTTCTCCCCCGCTTCCATAGCCCCCTTTCCGCCAACTCTCACCTTGAAAAAGGGAGCCAAGAAGGAACGAGAGAGGGAGCCAACTTCAGCCCCGCAGGCGGCTGAGATTTGGCGCCTCTGTTCCCAAAGCGGTTGGGTTTGAGTATGTACCTGCAGAAGCTGTGCGAGGCCAACAGAATGAGGGTGGAGGGATGGCGGAAAAGCGAGGGGAGGTTTATGTGTGTGTGTGTGTGTGTGTGTGTGTGTGTGTATGTGTGCGCGCGGGCGTGTGTGTGTGCACGCGCGCGCGCGCGCGTAAAGATCGCGGAGGAGGGGGTTCAAAGAGCAAAAGGATCAAGGAATTGCAGTTTTCTGTTCAAAACGTCCCTTGCAGGCCCTCGGGGAAAATGCCCCAGCAGCGGGACCCAGCACTGTCCAGGGTCCTGAAGGCGGCAGGGCGCAGGCTGCCTCGGGGAGAGCAACACCGAAGCTCCCCTGCGTTCTCTTGCTAGCAACTGTGCAAAGCCAAGAGGTCCGGATTTAGGCGAATGTAGGAGCCCCTCCAAATCCCTCCCCCATCGCGGGAAACAAGTTACCTTATCTGCACCCCTTTTCCTTGAACATCACAGTAAGCCTGACTTCTTAGGGGGAAACAGACCAAACTCCTACATACAGAGACTTTACCAGTCGTTGCCTTAGTAACTAATATGGATTTTCCCCAAGCTGGCAGATGTATATTTACTGCTTGGATTGTATGTCAGGATCTCTTGAACTCTCAAAATTAAAGTAAAAGGGGCATCCCTTGTTCATGTTCATTTTAAAGTAGAGCTTCCACCTTTACAATGAGTTTCCAAATTTTCTTCTGGGAAAAAGTTGATCTTTTCAGATTCACAAGTTCTCTTGGGTTGAATGACCTAGCACCTCCTCTCCTTCCACCGCCCACGAAGTCAGTGAGCACGATAGGTATGTGGGGACCAGGAGAGATTTGAGGCTGGAGGAGCGGGCAGGTCCGTGGGACTCTGAGCTGCCTGGGACCGCTGAGGACTCAGGAGACAGACACATCACCTTCCTCGTTGACCAGAGCTGCCTCCCAAGCCGCCCCTGCAGCAGGTACCAGGATGTGCCGAAATGAAACGGATGGGGCAACTAGTGACAACCCTGACCCCAGAGTTTCAACACAGGTCCTTTGATGATGACAGGGCTTTGATTTTGTCTGTCTTTTGTCAGCAGTGTCCAGCTCACCGCTGCCAACGGGACTCCTATTGTACTCTTGAGCAATTTACCTTGATGCACCAGTGAAGAAGGGGGATTCGTGTTCCCCTAAAAACGCCTCCAAAGCGTGGAGGCGGTCGCCGAGGACCAAGAAGAGAAGGCGGCAGGGAGGGAGGCGGTGGTGGAGGCGGCGAAGGCATTGGACAAGCAGTGTTGACTAGGGGGACCAAGCCGGGAGAGGCAGCGTCGCGCGTCTTGGTGGGGAGCGCCTGCAGCCTGCAGGGGACCAGCGTGTGAACGTGGCTGGCCGGCTGTGGACCTTGTCCTCTCCACGATGGTCTGGCTCCTTTTGATTTTCTTCCCAGCGATCATTTTGGAGATGCCCCTTCTCCCCAGAAGCCCCGGCAGGAAAGTGTTGCTGGCGGGAGCGTCTTCGCAGCGCTCGGTGGCCAGAATGGACGGAGATGTCATTATTGGGGCTCTCTTCTCAGTCCACCATCAGCCTCCGGCGGAGAAGGTGCCCGAGAGGAAGTGCGGGGAGATCAGGGAGCAGTACGGCATCCAGAGGGTGGAGGCCATGTTCCACACGCTGGACAAGATCAATGCGGACCCGGTGCTCCTGCCCAACATCACCCTGGGGAGCGAGATCCGGGACTCCTGCTGGCACTCGTCGGTGGCTCTGGAGCAGAGCATCGAGTTCATCAGGGACTCTCTGATTTCCATTCGAGACGAAAGGGATGGGCTCAACCGGTGCCTGCCTGATGGCCAGTCCCTCCCCCCAGGCAGGACTAAGAAGCCCATCGCGGGCGTGATCGGTCCCGGCTCCAGCTCTGTAGCGATTCAAGTGCAGAACCTGCTTCAGCTCTTCGACATCCCCCAGATCGCTTATTCCGCCACGAGCATCGACCTGAGTGACAAAACTTTGTACAAATACTTCCTGAGGGTTGTCCCTTCTGACACTTTGCAGGCAAGGGCGATGCTTGACATAGTCAAGCGTTACAATTGGACGTATGTTTCTGCAGTCCACACAGAAGGTAGGCATTAAATTTGGTACTGAGAACACCAGGGCATTGCATGATGTGCCTCTGGGATCTTCATTCCTGTTTGTTTCTGGCACCGTGGGGAACAGATACCTCAGTGCACGCCCACCCAGGCATCGCCTTTACCCTCATTCCTCTGTGATTATTACAGTGTATAAAACGGTATCCCGAGGTGTTTCTAGGGAGAGTGGGCGCTGAAAGCTTATCAAACTCTCCGCGCAGTGTCCAGCTGTCGATTTCACTGAGATGCTGGTTTGCCCTGCAGTCTGAGTTTTGTGCTGGGGACGCTTATTTTCCAAGGTGTTATATTGCCTTTCAGTGAGTGGCTATGAGTTTTCGAGCTTAATCAGCTAATCCACTGTGAGTGATTAGCAAAAAAGAAGGCACTGTTCTGAAAATTGGGCTTGGAGACTTTCTCTTGTCTTGAACACCGAAGGTGTTTCTTTGTCCTCTTGTGCCCCCTGTTACACACCCCAAACTTCCCTATGAATGCAGGATTAATGAAGTCATCTTCCTCAGCATAAAACACCCCCCCACACACACACATATTTTAAAATTCTGGAGTACCTTAGTTACAAAGAAATAGTAAATAATTTAAGCCATTTATTTTCTTCTTACTTCATATGCTAAAATTGTCCAGATTTCCTTGCTACCCCCCGCCCCCATATTATCTTGTCTTATGTGAACCTGATGACCTCTCAGGTTTGAGTTTGGTTTCTGATCTTTTTCCTCTAACACACGAATGTGTACATTAGTATCTAAAGTTAGACCATTTATAAATTACTACTAAAAAGATAGCAGATACCAGGTTTAAAATGGTTTTTAAAAATAAAATATATTTCCCTAAAGGATAATAGGGATAATTGTGATTTTTTCTGGAGACTTACAGATGTGAATTAATTGAAGAATTTCTTATACAAAGATTTTTCTTTACCCTCTTCACACAGACTACATAGATTTTTTTGATAAAATGAGATTTCTGAGCTCATCTACTCTTAACTCCCTCAGCAGGTTTATGAAGAAACTGAGATTCCTGGTTATAGATTAACTTCCAGGACAATTTACATTTATTTGCTGGCATATAGAAGAAAATCTTGGTGGTACTGCTGTATTCATAGCTTTAAAAATCATATTATTTTTTAAAAGGCCATAGACATGGTTTTGTGTTCTTTTAATATTTTCATAACATTCAGCTAGCAGTGTGTTAATTATAGAAATTAAGAAGCATTCTTACAGATTGGCTGTATGGTTATTGTTAATGAAAACAGAAGCTTTAATTTATAAAGGAAATAGAGCTTTCAGAACAAACAAAAATAATGTAGAATTACACTTCATAATCTTAGAGTTTGTGTTTGGAAAAAACTTTTGCTGTAATATTGTGATTTCTAACAACTGAGTCAGGCTTCTGAATCTTAATTTTTAATCATGAACTTAATACTTTTTAAACAAAACTCATTAATTTTTTAAGACAAAATTAATTTCAGGTGTTAATAACTTACATTTGAATGTTTAATCTTAATTTCCTACATTTTAATGTTTAATATAGTTCCCTTTATTGCTTATGTGGAAAGTCCTGAAAGCACAAGTTAAAAATGTATTGAATTATCAGCACTAGATGAAGTTCTCCAAAGAGAATGGAAATTATAAATTAAATGTGATTTATTTAAATATTTAATAATTCTCCCGCATTGAGCTCTATAATTTTAAGTGTACAATTCTTCCTTCAGAAAGAAGTAATACTTTATTGCTGCTATATAGTAGTTTTATTTTTTATATTTCAGTATAAGACAGTTTTATTTGGGGGAAAAAGGGGAGTAGAAGAACCCCCTTCAGTCTGTTTTGCAATTGCATCACATTTCTGATAATAACTGTTAGTACTGGGCTGTTTTCTGAGAACTAGAATTATGATTTCAGAAGATTAATTGACTTCTGATTGCTAATGTTGAGGAGGGAATCATATTACGATTTCATCCATGTGTTTGGATTATTATGCTTCCTTTCTTTCTTCTGATTGGTGCCATATAGCAGAAATAATATCTCTATACTATTAGAGCAGTTAATTCCAGACTGGAATGTGTTCATACAACAGCATCATAGCTGACTTTGGTGTTTATTAACAAGAGACTTCACCATTTACCTTGACATTTACATATAATGTCTGGTTTTTTCTCAGTTACTTCTCTTATCAGACAACATCTGTGAAGAATAAATTGCTTTTATTTTCTTCTTTTTGCAAAGATATTTGGTGTAGACTTCTTTGTGTAAGCTCCAACCAAAACTTCCTGTCTTCTGAGAGGCTTTGCCCTCCTGCTTCTTGGGGACCTGTGGTACGCTGGCCTACAGGCTCTGTTTTGGATCGGTTAGTAATTGTCCTGCTTTCAGACTTAGGGGGTCACCTACTGGTGACAGTTTCCTGTCAGACAGCAGCTAAGACCACATTCAATGTTGTCTTTGCTATCTGAGCACTATTCAGCAAGGAAGCCGATTTGTGTGGACATTGGTAATTTTGAGCTCAGAAATCCAAGGACCTTCAGTAACCTTCACTTCTCCTTTCCAAATCAGCCGTTTCCTAGTCAACTGATAACCACCATTTCTTAAATAAGAAGTTAGCGCAGTATAGTTAACATCAGAAGCACTTAGTGACTGAACTAGTGCACTTTCACTTCTGTAGTTAATTTTTGATGACTTCAAAACAACATTTTTTTTAATTTCCATTTTTTTTACATTATTTTATATTTCTATAGCTTGGAGGTATTTCTGTTATTTTTTTTTTCCAACCAGGTAGAATTTAGTTATATTCTTTTACTTTCTTTCCAATCTTTTATTACATACCACACTTGTCCTCTGGCCATTAGAAGTGCCAATTTACCTGACATAGAAGGGGATCAGTGTACATAAAGTCATCTGTGATAGACTATCCGGAAATTGTTCATAATTGGTTCCTGAGAGGATTGTTAAGATGGATCTGTCGAGAAGGGGGTGGGATATTGAGGTACTAGAGCCCTATCCACAAATAAAGTTCCAATGTGCTTTGGAATAAGCTGTTCACCTGGAATGTGAGTCTTTAAAGTTGCTAAGTATAGGGTACAGAAATAGCCTACTTCTGGGAAGAGTATCTTGGCCAAGGACACTGTAGTTCATTCATTCTTATGATAAATCTGGTTTTTGATGGGAAATCTTATTTCAAAAGTTTGTAGAAAACAATACTTAATAATTCTAGTTGATTAATTTCAAAGCATTGGACAAGTCAAATAAGGAATATTCTTTGAATTCATAGCTTCAAAAAGTTTTTTTTTTGATTGGATACATTTTCATTTGTTTTAAGCCTTTCTCCTTAGTATTTTTGTCTTTGATAGTCATATGAATATTGACATATTGAGAGACTTAGTGATCCTGCTTCCCTTATGCAAATATTCACTTTAGGGTGGTCTTTTGTTTACATTTAAATTTTCATTGTGGTGCAAATTTTCTTTTTTAACATTTGCTTACATTTTATATAAAATTAGCCTTGTTGGGGTTCTTTTCAAAATCTTTTTTTTGTTTTTAAATACTTTTTCTGTTTAATGTAAAACTTAATTTAAAACTAATAGCATCAGAGGAATAAAAGCGGTAAATATACACGTTAACTGCCACTTTAATACAATGACATGTAATAATTTTATATCTATTAAGAATCATATTTCCTACTTACGCGTCTATACTTTTCTTATCTTGATTGTAACCTACATCGTAGGAAATTACTTCAATAAATTGCCCTAGTGTATCATATAATAGCAATGGAAGTGTATTGAAAAGTTATTCAGGATAACCAATTAGAGATGCTTAAACCACTGCTATTACATGCTTGCCTATGCTCTAAGTTTTCTAATTGTGTTTAGGGTTCCTAAAGAGAATGGTAGAATATAGAAGTTAAATTCAAAAGCTGAATTTCACCTGACTTTTAGTCAGTTCTTTATAATGACATAAAATGGATTCTCTGAAGTTTCTACATATTCTCCATCCACAACTGGGTGTCATTCAAACAATTCCAACTCCCTTTCCAAGTGGTATTTTTCACCAATGAATCTTCTCTTTTATGCCATATCTTACTAGCATCTTCACCCATATGTTCTGAATTTAGTTTTATCATAATTGACTCAAGTAGATCTTAGATTAATATCCCAAAGCCCTTTAAAAAATTATATGCTGCAATTAAACCATATCACTTTCCTTTCATGCTTAACAGTTAACATTATTGTTAATTTTCTTTTACATGTAAAATTATTAGCTTCAATCTGCTTTTATAACTTATCTGTAAATTCTGGGATTTTGATAACTTAATTTATCTTCAGATCCCACCTTTGTGTTTTCAGGCTGAGTGACCACTAGAATTAATCACTACTTAGTTTGCAGGTCAAGGGGTATGAGACTTCACTCTTGATTTTGTCTTATTTATGCTCTAACACATATAATTAAATTCTGAGAACATATTACATGAACAGCTGTAAATAGTTTAAATGAAAAGCCATCCCAGTAGATAGCTCTAAGTGGAAGATTTATTGCATAAAAACTTTACATGAGAAATTTGATGAGTTAGTATCAGTTTCTAAGGTGTTTATACTCTAAAGGGAGTATAGTTTGAATGCATGTAAAATAAATAAAAACAATAATTGCAGTATAGACATTTAGAAATATGAGTGCATACAATTTTGGAGAACAATGAGAGAAAATATCAGTAGTGTAATTATTTAGAAAAATACTAGAGAAAGGGAATTTTTGGTTAGTGTTTTGTTTGAGAACACCTAACTTGTAAAAGTTAGAAGTAGTATTGAAAATTTCCCCGTTATTTGGAAAAAATAAGCAGGTCTAGCTGGAGTAAAGATAGGGGCTAGGAACTAATGTCGAAGAGAGGAGTGGGTTCTAATACTCTGTGATTACGTGAGTCTTAATAGAAATGAAGGACAAACAATGGGGATCTTCAAGCATGTGACAAAAAAATTGTTTTTTTAAAAAAT